AAATAGGCAATCAATCAAAATTATATTGAGAGTTTGAAGGATCTAAGAGTGGACACAAAAGAGAAAAAGAAAAAAAATAAGAGGAAAGAAGGAAAGAAGAAGGAGAAGTAAAAGAGGTAGGGGGGTATCCGATGTTCTCTATAGCCCGTAAGTCCACCATGCAGTCCTGGGGTAGGGAAAGAAGCTTACAGTGCCTTGAAAAAGTATTTATACCCCTCAAAATTGTCAACATTTTGTCATGTTACAACCAAAAACGTAAATGTATTTTATTGGGATTTTATGTGGTAGACCAGCACAAAGTAGCACATAATTGTGAAGTGGAAGGAAAATTATAAATGGTTTTCATCATTTTTTTACAAATTATTATCTGAAAAGCGTGGCATGCATTTGTATTCAGCCCCCTTTACTCTGATACCCCTTACTAAAATCTAGTGGAACTACACAAATCTGGCCTTTATGGAAGAGTGGCAAGAAGAAAGCCATTGTTGAAAGAAAGCCATAAGAAGTCCCATTTGCAGTTTTCAAGAAGCCCTGTGGGGGACACAGCAAACGTGGAAGAAGGTGCTCTAGTCAGATGAGACAAAATTTAAATTTTTAGCCAAAAGTAAAACGTTATGTGTGACGGAAAACTAAAACTGCACATCACCCTGATCACACCATCCCCACCGTGAAACATGGTGGTGGCAGCATTATGTTTTGGGGATGTTTTTCTTCAGCAGGGACAGGGAAGCTGGTCAGAGTTGATGGGAAGATGGATGGAGCCAAATACAGGGCAAGCTTAGAAGAAAACCTGTTAGAGTCTGCAAAAGACTTGTGACTGGGGCAGAACTTCACCTTAGAGCAGGATGACCCTAAACATAAAGCCAGAGCTACAATGGAATGGTTTAGATCAATGCATATTCATGTGGTAGAATGGCCCAGTCAAAGTCCAGACCTAAATCCAATTGAGAATCTGTGGCAAGACTTGAAAATTTCTGTTCACAGACACTCTCCATCCAGTCTGACAGAGATTGAGCTATTTTGCAAGGAAGAAGGGCAAAAATGTCACTCTTTAGATGTGCAAAGCTGATAGAGACATCCCCCAAAAGACATGCAGCTGTAATTACAGTGAAAGGTGGTTCTACAAAGTATTGACTTGGGGGACTGAATGCAAATGCACGCCACACTTTTCAAATATTTATTTGTTAAAAATGTTGAAAAACATTTATCATTTTCCTTCCACTTCACAATTATGTGCCACTATGTTTGTCTATCACATAAAATCCCAAAAAAATACATTTACATTTTTGGTTGTAACATGAGAAAATGTGGAAAATTTCAAGGGGTGTGAATACTTTTCAAGGCACTGTATGGTGATTGTCCAGCATAAATGGAGAGGGTATTCCATAAAATTCCAGATCTCCTACTTCCTACTATGTTTCATAGTCATTTAAGACAGCCATTAAATATTTTATCCTTTGGACATCTTGAATCCTAATATGAAGCTTCGTCAGAGAAGGAGGTTCATGTTGTTTCCACTTAAGGGCTACTAAACATCGTGCTGCCATGAGAATGTGTGACAGCAGCCATTTAGACATTTAGCCAAGACTCTTTTGTGTTAAATACAATAGGGAAGGGTTAAAATCCCTTTCAGTTTATTATTCTTTGTTTGTGATCTATTAAGGTGATTTCCCTTCTCTTGCTATCTTGGAGACACAACAGGAAATGAGAAGAAATCTCTACAAAGTCAGAAGACAGCCCCTCTTAGACAGCTGTCACTGGAACAGGTGTCTCTATTGGAAGATTTCCACTCACCTCCTGTTCTGGTGACAACTGTAACATTTTGATATTCTTTTCACTTTCTAGTAATAGTGGTCACCAGGACAGATAGGGAGGATGAATCAATAAAAAAAAAACTGATAGAGGTTCTAACCCTTCCCTACTCTATGTACAACTAAAAACGTTTTTATACATACACTTTACATGCAGTATTTAGAGCACATTATTAACAGTAATTATCTCAGGTAGATCTTCTATCTACTTCCTGATGAAGTAGGCACACCAAGGTTTTGCTGCAGCTTTAACTGCTGATCTGACTATTAATGTATCCATTACAATGCAGTCTGAGTTGCTTTATATGCATGGAAGAACCTATAATGGACAGCTCATATTTATCATAAATGACCATGAATGTCAGCTGCTGCTTTCTCTTTTTGATTACGTTATGATAGGATATGGACAGGCGCTGGTGAAATTAGCAGAGAAAGGGGCAGAGGGATCATATATCTGTATTCCCTCTCACCCTGTCATTATTCAACTGTCATCATGTGAACTGTATTTCATTCACTTCCACCTACACACATCTTCCAAAGACTAATTTGTACTACAGTATTTACTGACATGTCACCCATGACTGAATATTGGGAAAATAAACAGAATTAAAAAGCTGCTATGTGTAATTCTTCTTAAAGGAAACTTATACTGAGACCTGTATTGAGAGTTACATGTAGGGTGCCATTGCATTAATGATGATGCAGTGACTGTAATACTTTCTGAATCAGTGATCCAAAACAAGTATGCAGATCAGTTCTGACTTAGCCTGTTACATATTTGGCCCAGGTCAGGACTCAAAAATTTAAAGGCTGCTTTAATACTGATCAGTTTTTCCGAAGAAGAACATATGGCCATTAAATCCTATGGAACTCCTTTGGTCGGTTGCAGTTCCATTGCATTTTTCAAATCCTGCAAGTTGCGGTTTTGGTGCATGTTTGGTGTGGTGAATAAAATTGCACCTCCCCATTGAAATGAACAGAAAACGCATCAAAAACACACCTGTGGTTGCGTTTTTTTTTTTTTAGTCACGTCCTTTTTTCACTGGCGCAAAACACATCGGAAACACAGCAAAAACGTGGTGAAAACGTGGCAAAACATATATGCATTTTTGCCACATTTTGCAGCTGAGCAGTGTGAAAGTAGCTCAAGAACTGAGACAGGCAGGCAAATAGTATCTTCAGAAAGAGTTGCATTATTCACGGGGCATACTAGGAAAGAGCCCAGGGCCAGTGGAAGTCCAAAGGGCCCAACTACATGCTTTATGTTTCTGCAGTTAATCAGGGAGTTAGTGTAATTGATTAAAGCTGTGCACCTGCCTGTCACTCTGCACTCTCTAGGATGTACTGTAGGCAGTTGGTGTCTGATGGGGCCATGCTACTACAGGCAATGCAGATGGAGAAGTTACTCTGTTCCTGTGGCAGTCTTGATCAATGTCAGTCGAAGAGATGGAGGGGACCAAAGCTGCTACCTTGCCTAGGACCCCATTCAACCTTAACTCATCTCTCAGCTAGCCAGAGAATATTAACTTTGTTACAGGTTTCCTTTAAAGCATACCTGTCACTGCATTCATCTATGAAAACTAATCTTACAACTTTTTTTAAAAAGTCTAAGCATCACTAAATGCCAGTTGGTATCACTGGTTTGTTAAAATATTGCTGCAGGGTACTTGAACTTGATGTGCCTATAGTATGCAAATATAAATTTTTGGTCATTGCTAAGGCATGCCCTCTTCACATGACACAATGTAACAAGGCCTTTCAATGCCATTTCAGGTTTGGCAGCTTGCAGGCCACCGATAGCAACAGTTTATTAAGCCAGTTGTGTCAGTCTGGACATGTGGTTCCCTCTCTTTAAGTGGGAAGTTAGTTTTTTCAAAATAAATTATAGCCCTATTATAGTTTTAGAAATACACTTGTGATTACCCCTCCCCCACTCCCCTTTCTGTAGCCTGTTTTCCTGGTCCTACTGTTCTGCCCCCATATTCCTTCAATCTCTATATCCAATTAGTGCCTCCCATGCCCTCTCATGCCTCTCCTCCCCCTACCTATTCTAAGCTCTCCCTTCCTCTCATTTCTTTTTTACTGTCATACCTTAATCCCACTCCTAAAAACTGTGTGTTTGAGGCCCTTATTCACCCTGCAAGGAGACCCACTCAGAAAGAACAAAAATTAAACTAAGGCCAGTCCTCCAGTTATAACACCATTCAAACACACCATGGATATATATATATTTCAGAGACTGTTTTCTGTATATTTGTTATAATACTGTTGGTTTTTATCACACTAGCTATATCTATATATATATATATATATATATAGTTTGGTTTGGAAAAATCATGTAATAAAATATTACTTTGAAAAAAAAGTGTGATAAAAGTAAAATAGCTTTTACTTTTTATAGTTTTCCCATAAATCTAACTGCTAGATACAGGTGGACATTGTTTTTTTTTATCTTAGACCAGTGTTCCTCTTCTTTCCTAGAAATTGATTGGTGAATATTTCTTATCCAGAATAAAAACACAAGCTTCTTAAATGCTTGAATACTTTTACCTGCTTGTTTCTGTTTAGTCTTTGATGTCATTAAAACTATATGAATGAGGTGGTAGTGTCATCTCATGGGCTGCACATTATGAGCTTCCATACTGCAAGGGATTGAGATAAAAGTGTTAATTGCATATATTTAATTATGTCAGTGGCAGGGGCGGACTGACCATTCAGGCACTCGGGCACTGCCCGAGGACCCAGGGTCAGTAGAGGGACCCATGAGATGCCCTTAGTACCTTTCATAGGCTTTTTTGGGTGTGGTTTGAGTGTGGGCGAGGACACAGGGGCCCCATGATCTCCTATTGCCCAGGGGCCCCATGAGTTCTCAGTCCGCTGCTGGTCAGTGGTCATCTATTTTATATTAGGCCTTGGTTGTTAGGTGGATTGTTTGCAAATGCAAGCTGTTTTGTATCAAAGGTCTAAAAGAAATATATATTTTGTGTCTTTCTGTTAAATTGAATTAGAAGGTAAAATCTGATTGTGTGCTGGGGACAATATGTACTGTGTTTTACACTATAGACATGTATGTATTTTATAGGGTAATGCTTTACTATTCTGGATATTATACATGGACCCAGTCATTATCTGTGAACCTTAGATACATGTGACTTTCAGCTGGTTAATACTATTTTTTCATTTTCATAGGAAATTGTTGAAGATTTGGCAAGAGATATACTTAATAAATTGCCAAATGATTTCAATCTGGATAAAGTGATAGAAAAATATCCCGTGGTCTATGAGGAATCAATGAATACAGTGCTTAGACAGGAACTGATTCGCTTTAACAGGTAAAATGGGAATTTAATTAAGCTTTTGAAATAGCATTTATTGGAGATACATTATATTGGTTAAAATAACTTGTACTGTGCAAAATATTATTATTACTAATGTACCTTGCATAAATAAGAAAAAGCCAACACAAAATAAAACTGATTTGTTTGTCACAAGAGAGTGCCTGAAAATGACAGCTAAATTTAAATACAGGTTACCTGGCTGATATTACACATCAGACTTGTGATTATTCAACAAGCTCCAGTGCTCAGCACTTTTATGTCTCTTTAAATAAGCAGGAAATATTTTTAAATATAAATGCAAAGTGCCCCACTCCGTTCTTCACAATCAAGTTATTAATACTGATGTATATTGCACTATTTATACCCAGTGTATAGACCGCGTGTGTGTGTGTGTATATTTTATCAAGGTATGCCAATAAAAGTCTTTGCATATTAAAGGAATTTCAGTGAAAGATGCTGTATATATTTAAACTGTATGTATAGGCAAAACTTATTTTGTTGTTCTAAATAGAATAGGGATGGGTTAGACCCTTTTGCAAAACTTTCTGTATCCCTACTTAAATAAAATATATTATAAAGTAAAAAAAAAATGTTTTAAAGCACCTCAGTTTCCATATTCTCATGAGCAAATGCGAATGTGCATGTCAATCCCTCACACATATGTAAACAACGATCACACCACATTTGTGAGGTATCGCCGCAAACGTCAGAGCAAGAGCAATAATTCTAGCACCAGACCTCATGTGTACCTCTGAACTGGTAACCTGTAAAGGCTTTTAAAGTGTCACCATTTGGTGCTGCTCCAAGAGCATACACAGTTTTAAAACTTGACATGTTTGGTATCTATTTACTCAGTGTAACATAGTTTACCAAACAATTGTGTTTTTGTGCATTAAAATTCATTATATTCTTCAGGATCTCTGCTTAGGAATATAAATAATTAAATATATATACAGTTGTGTTCAAAATAATAGCAGTGTGTTGAAAAAAAGTGAATAAAGCTCAAAATCCTTCTAATAGCTTTTATTTCCATACACACAAATGCATTGGGAACACTACACATTCTATTCCAAATCAAAACATAGAAGAAAAATATATCAAATTTGTGTTGTTCCTGTAAAAAAAATTGAAGAAAAGTGAATATTAGACTGTTCAAAAAAATAGCAGTGTTTGCATTCTTCATTACAAACTCAAACATTCACTATATAAACTGAAAAATGTTTGAAGATTTTGCTTTCCTTTGAATCACTTAATATTTAGTTGTATAAGCACTGTTTCTGAGAACTGCTGTACATCTGTGTTGCATGGAGTCAACCAACTTCTGGCACCTGTGAACAGGTATTCCAGCCCAGGATGTTTGGACTACATTCCACAGTTCTCTTCTCTATTTCTTGGTTTTGCCTCAGAAACTGCATTTTTGATGTCACCCCACATGTTTTCTATTGGATTAAGATCCAGGGATTGGGCTGGCCACTCCATAACGTTAATCTTGTTGGTCTGGAACCAAGATGTTGCACGTTTACTGGTGTGTTTGGGGTCGTTGTCTTGTTGGAACACCCATTTCAAGGGCATTTCCTCTTCAGCATAAGGCAGCATGACCTCTTCAAGTATTCTGATGTATTCAAACTGATCCATGATCCCTGGTATGCGATAAATAGGCCCAACACCGTAGTATGAGAAACATCCCCATATCATGAATCTTGCGCAACCATGCTTCACTGTCTTTACAGTGTACTGTGGCTTGAATCCAGTGTTTGGGGGTCATCTGACAAACTGGTTCCGGCCACTAGACCCAAAAAGAACAATCTTACTTTCACCAGTTCACAAAATGTTGCGCCATTTCTCTTTAGGCCAGTCAATGTGCTCTTTGGCAAATTGTAACCTCTTCAGCACATGTCTTTTTTTCAACAGTGGGACTTTGCGGGGGCTTCTTGCAGATAGCTTGGCTTCACATAGGCGTCTTCTAATTGTAACAGTACTCACAGGTAACTTTAGACCTTCTTTGATGTTCCTGGAGCTGATTGTTGGCTGAGTCCTTGCCATTTTGGCTATTCTTCTATCCATTCGAATGGTAGTTTTTCGCTTTCTTCCACGTCTTTCAGGTTTTGGTTGCCATTTTAAAGCATTTGCGATCATTTTAGCTTGAGCAGCCTATCATTTTCTGCACTTCTTTATATGTTTTCCCCTCTCCAATCAACTTTTTAATCAAGGTGCGCTGTTCTTCTGAACAATGTCTGGAATGACCCATTTTCCTCAGAATTTCAGAGAGAAATGCACTGTAACCAGAATGTACAACATTTGCTGCCTTCCTTCCTTAAATAAGGGCAATAATTGCCACCTGTTTTTCAAAGAATGAATGACCTCACTAATAGAACTCCACACTGCTATTATTTTGAACATGCCCCTTTCAATTAGTGATTCAATTACACAGAATCAGCAGAATGCATGTTATGACTGTTGGGTCTGTTGGATTTCTATTACTCTACTACACCTGCTAGTAAATTATTTGCCAGGTAGAAATATAATTTCTACCAAAAACAGTGATTGATCAGGTTAGTGATGTCTAACTGCTATTATTTTGAACACAACTGTATGTGTATATATATATATATATATATATATATATATATATATATATACATACAGGTGAAACTCAAAAAATTTCAATATCATGCAAAAGTTCATTTATTTCAGTAATGCAACTTAAAAAGTGAAACTAATATATGAGATAGACTCATTACATGCAAAGCAAGAAAGCAAGATAGTTCAAGCCATGATATTTCATAATTGTGATGATTATGGCTTACAGCTCATGAAAACCCCAAATCCACAATCTCAGAAAATTAAAATATTACATGCAATCAATAAAACAAGGATTGTACATAGAACAATATCGGACCTCTGAAAAGTATAAGCATACATATGTACTCAGTACTTGGTTTGGGCCCATTTTGCAGCAAATACCGCCTCAATGTGGCTTGGTATGGAACCTATCAGCCTGTGGCACTGCTGAGGTGTTATGGAAGACCAGGATGCTTCAATAGTGGCCTTCAGCTCTTCTGCCTTGTTTGGTCTCATGTCTCTCATCTTTCTCTTGGCAATGCCCCATAGATTCTCTATGGGGTTCAGGTCAGGCGAGTTTGCTGGCCAATCAAGCACAGTAATCCCACGGTCATTGAACCAGGTATTGGTGCTTTTGGCAGTGTGGGCAGGTGCCAAGTCCTGCTGGAAAATGAAGTCAGCATCCCCATAAAGCTTGTTTGCAGAAGGAAGCATGAAGTGCTCCAAAATCTCCTGGTAGACGGCTGCGTTGACCCTGGACTTAATGAAGCACAGTGGACCAACACCAGCAGATGACATGGCTCCCCAAATCAACACAGACTGTGGAAACATCACACTGGACTTCAAGGATTTTGCAGTGTGTGCCTCTCCATTCTTCCTCCATACTCTGGGTCCTTGGTTTCCAAATGAGATGCAAAAGTTGTTCTGATCAGAAAAGAGGATGTTGGACCACTGAGCAACAGACCAGGTCTGTTTTTCTTTAGCCCAGGTAAGACGCTTGTTGTTCAGGAGCGGCTTGACAGGAGGAATATGACATTTGATGCCCATGTCCAGGATCTGGCTGTGTGTGGTGGCTCTTGATGCACTGACTCCAGCCTCAGTCCACTCCTTGTGAAAGTCCCCAACACTTTTGAATGGCCTTTTCCTGACAATCCTCTCCAGGCTGCGGTCATCCCTGCTGCTTGTGCACCTTTTTCTTCCACACTTTTCCCTTCCACATAACTTTCTATTAATGTGCTTTGCTACAGCACTTTGGGAACATCCAACTTCTTTTGCAATTACCTTTTGAGGCTTTCCCTCCTTATGGAGGGTGTCAATGATGGTTTTCTGCACAACTGTCAGGTCAGCAGTCTTTCCCATGATTGTGATTCCTACTGAACCAGACTGAGAGACCATTTAAAGGCTAAGGAACCCTTTGCAGGTGTTATGGCTTAGGTAGCTGATTAGAGTGGGACACTTTGAGCCAAGAATATTGCACCTTTTCACAATATTCTAATTTTCTGAGATTGTGGATTTGGGGTTTTTATGAGCTGTAAGCCATAATCATCACAATTATGACAAATCATGGCTTGAACTATCTTGCTTTGCATGTAATGAGTCTATCTCATATATTAGTTTCACCTTTTAAGTTGCATTACTGAAATAAATGAACTTTTGCACGATATTCTAATTTTTGAGTTTCACCTGTATATATACTGTATATACATCTATATATATAATGTTTGGTGGTTCTAAGTAATTTTCTAGCAAAAAAAAATGTTTCTCACATGTAGGAGAGGAATGTCAGAACTGGCCCAGACTGAAAGTGATTAAATAGTCATAGGTATGGGAAATATACAGCTGTTCATACTTGCTCAGATTGGAGACACAGAAAGTAGTATCACCTTTGTTTCTGCTGAGAAACTAACATTTTCATAAAGTTTGCAACCCATATTTCTGCCTATAAAAATGTACTTTAATAAGCTTGGGTCACTAAATTAAAAACAGAAGTTTACATGCATAAAAAACATTAGGCACATTGATGTAAAATCTTATAATTTGAAAGAGTTTGCAGTGTTTAGCCGAGTGCTTCCATTACGCATTTAATGTTTTGCAAAAAAAAAAAAAGTCAAAGCTATTTGTTGCTTGTGAAAGGTTTAATTTAGCTGAGTGACAAGCATTTAGACTTGTGTATATATGACTTTACTGACCTTGTTCTATTAAGAATCTGAAATGACTGCAGTGCCCAGAATTAGTGGCATTGCTGCTAGAAAGAGGTCTTGCTGCTGGATTCGTATTTGTTTATTTTGCCTGGTCTTTAAACATTGGGGTGCCCAGAGTCACTTATCACTTTAAACAGACTGCTGGTGTCATATCTAACTTAATGACAGCAAAATATCTTGTCATTTTTACTCAATCTCCATCCTATTTCCTTTCCCAGGCTCACAGATGTTGTACGAAGCAGTCTGATCAATTTAGGTAAAGCTATCAAAGGCCAAGTGTTGATGTCAGCGGAGCTGGAGAATGTGTTTAACAGTATGCTGGTTGGGAAAGTACCTGCCATGTGGGCTGCAAAATCCTACCCTTCACTGAAACCTCTGGGCAGCTATGTATCTGACTTGCTCTCCCGCCTGCAGTTCCTACAGGTAAGACTCAAGAAGTATTAAATAAAACCAGTTTCATAAATGCATCTGTTCAGCAGTAATTTGCTACACAGAAACTGCGGCCAAAAAATACTGCGTCAAAACACCATTAATTGTGGGTTTTGTAACTAGCTGGCGTCTACATACATGTACCACAGGGACTTATGATAGGTGGTCACAACAGAGTCATTGCAGAGGGTTTGCAACTGTTGCTTAGAAGGCAGATCCCAAATTAAATACTGTACATATATTGGAAAGTATTTTTTCCATTCAGTCCAGCGATTTACCCAGCCCCATCCCACAACCAGGGGCGAACTAACTATTCGGGCACTGCCCGAGGGCCTAGGGTCAGTAGGAGACCCCATGAAATGCCCCTGGTACCTTTTGTAATGGAATCAACCCAGAGTGCAGATGAGTACTTCTGTTAGAATACCGCTTCCCCATCCAAACACCGACAACAGACACAACAGCACACTAGACAACACCAATCTTGAAGTAAACCAGGAGGTAGACTAGTTTATTTGAACACAGATACAAGATATATACACTGAGGGGACAACAGTCCCCATGAGTTGTCAGTCTGCCCCTGCCCACAACACAACCAGGAGGGTGACACCACTTACTGTTAAGGAATACAGTTGTGTCCTCTACCTGATCCCAGTCTGCTGACTGGACAATAAAAGAACAGAAGCAGCCCAAGTACTTCCTCTCCTCCTATCAACTTCTTTCTTACACTTGCTTGCTGCACAGCTAGTTGGCTCCTAAGGCTGCCCTGCAATTACCAAATCTGAGTGTTAATAATTTGCAGGGGATTGTAAGAAGCTGTTCACATGTTAAATTCCTACACCAGTTATGTTTAAAAATATATTTAATGATGTAGTTGCATTAAATAGTTTCCTTTGTAGCTACCTGGCGTGCAGCTTTAACTGTAGTTACAAATCCCACTTGGATTCTCCATATGGCTCTATCCCTCCTCTTTTCTAGTTTGCATACATTTACTGCTGTAAAGGATAAACACATGGGGGAGTTTGAGGAAAATATTGGATATTTCATATACTGCAATAGCTCAGAGATATTGGAAATTTTTTAACCCATTATGTCCGGAGTAAAGGGCACCGTTGTTCCTCAGATGTACATTAATATCTCACCTTGGTCCACACCTATTACTGTGTTGCTGTTAACATCCAATCAGAGGTTTCTTTTTATATTCTCTAATATAGCACACGGAGGATGAAATAAGACTCTGACTGTTGAAGTGAATCTGACATAAGTGAATTAGAGAGCTGCCTTTGCTGCCTTCTTCCTGAAAATGCTAGTTGTCAGGCTTTAATCTTGACCCACCTTTTTCAATACCCTCTAAATCAATGACCGTGAACAAGTATGCAGATCAGAAGAGTCTAAAATCAATGGTCAATCGCTTAAAGTGGTTCTAAAGGTTTAAGGTTTTTCATTCTATGCACGAAGGTAAAAAACCTTCTCTGTGCAGCAATGCCCCCAGCCCCCCCCCCTAATACTTACCTAAACCTCTCTCGATCCAGTGATGTGAACTGGAGTCTCGGCTATCCTGGGACTCCCTCTCCTCATTGGCTGAGACAGAAAATGGAGCCATTGGCTCCCTCCACTGTCAATCAAAGCCACTGAGCCAATGAGAAGAAAGGGGCGGGGCTGAGCCACGGCTACATGTATGAATGGACACACAGAGCAGCGGGCACCCCCATATCAGACTGCTTGCTGACAGGAGGGTGGGGCCAGAAGCGCTGGTGGGAGGCCTGAGAAGAGGAGGATCCGGGCTGCTCTGTGCAAAATTACTGCACACAGCAGGTAAGTATAGACATGTTTGTTATTTTTTCCTTAAAAAATAAGCCTTTAGAATCACTTTAAAGCACTAAAGTCAGTGGGTCAACAGGCAGATAACAAACATGTACATAATAAGAGGGTCAGCACTAGAAGCATCCATGTTTCTATCATGACAGGTTACCTTTAGGGGCAAATAGGAAGTTTGTGTTTTTCAGGCACTAAAATGTCATAGATAAGAAGTATGTGGCAGAAAAGAAGCATGAAGATGAAAAACCTTCGGTGTGCACCTTCCCTCAGCCACCCCCCCCCCCCCCCCAAATACTTACCTGAGCCCTATTGCAATCCAGAGCTGTGTACTGGAGCCTCGGCTCCCCCAGGTCTTCCACTGTTGTCAATCACAGACAGTGAGGAAGGGAGTGGTGGGCAGAACTGAGCCATGGTCTGTTTGTCCCATGGAGGTGGCTCGGGAGCATCTTCCAGACTCACTAATATTACTACAAGGCCTACCAGTCTGTAAAATGATGTTACCTACAGTATGTACTACATAAAAACACATGCAGCCAGATCATCGAGGACATTTGAAACGTAAAGAGACATTAGATTTATGCTAAGCCATTCTATCAGTAGCAGTTTTGCATCTGGCTGGAAAGATCATTCAAAACTCAGAAAAGGACAATGGAGAAAACTCCATTAGATGTTCAACAATATCAGGAGACTTATTGCAATTGCAGACCTATTGTAAACAAATTTAAGCAATTGACATTTTCTGGTCTCTAAAAGGATTGGGAAACAAATGAGGCTCTTCTGGTTCTCTTGGTTAACCTAAATTGCCAAAAGGAATTCTGTTTTGTGTATGGATAGTGCCAATCAACTCCCATCTAGCCTAAATACTATGGAATATAGTATACAAGAAACTCTCAAATGTATCTTACAGTATATAAAAGTTATCATTTACCTTGTCACTACAGCTATTTTTGCAAAGCTGAAATGTTTTTATAATTTCCATTACTCCAGTATGTATGCCAACAATATGCAATGGCAATGACAACTAGTATGACAGTGCAGGCTGCTGTTAGAGAATGCCTAATACACCTAAAATGGCATCACTTCACCTCCTAACTATACCGCAGGGATGAAGGCTGACAGTTGCTTATACATATTCACTCAGATTTACTCTCACTGTTCTGGCTAAGCAGGATGTTTCCTTTTTCTGAGATCAGCAGACAGTAGAAGAAAGAAAAAACATTGTCATGCCAGTCTAGTGTATTACAACATTTTATAATACATTAATAAAAACAGATGCATTTAATGAGAGGTACAGTATGTTGTTTGGAAGGAAGACCGAAACTGTCCATCTTGGCTTGTGCATTATGTCATGGGTTTGGGTCAGTGTAATATAGGGGGCACTGCACAAGGTCAGTTTGATGGAAAGATCCTTGACATTGAGGATTGCATACTGTGAGACCAGACGTGCCCCTGCAACACTTGTGGATATACTTAATGATTATTTTTCCATGCATAGAGTGTTGTATGTTTTTATATTTAGGAGTTAGGTAATGTTGCTCTACTACTGCCTATATCAGTTTACTTTGGGAGGCCTTTGGGCACAGGGCACGCAAAATACAACGTATAGCTACAGGACTGGTATTTGGTCTCCAGTAGAGGTGCAACATGGGCTGGATCACTAGTTTGGCCACTGTGTCCTGTAGTGACATAAGTAAGATGTGGATGAAACCACAGCCTGCAGCAAGGGACCAGAGATCCAATACACCCAGAAGTGTGCTGAAGGCAGGAGATTCTTCAGATAACATAGCTGTTCAATTGGACGATGATCTAAGGCACAGGTAAGTATTACCTGGGATCTGTTTTAATGAGAAAAAATTCTAAGAAGGGACATAAATTTCAGGGTTTGAGCTGTGGAGAAATAAATGTTAAAGATCGTTAGGGGAGCTGCAGGATTTACATTTGTTCTCACTATGGAGAACTCTAGTGGTGAAATGCACCATAATAAATTATTTTAAAAAATATTCTGGTGACTTAAGATGGTTTTTGTGGCTTAAAATGTGTGTATATCACCTAGTGTATGTTAATAAAAGGACATTCTAACTGTCTCTTAGAATGCATAAAAAGGCCCTGACACACCTATAGCATACAAGCCATGTTTGCTTGTCTCTACTCTGAAGCCTCTCTCAGGAAATGCATTCTGTGACAGACCCTGGAACCATATCAGAATCCTCTAACAGCTGCTTATAACGTGAACTGTCGCTTGGAACATATTGCTGTTATTAGTGGGTTTTAGTTAAGTTCAACTATCCTGCTAATAACAGAATAAAAATGTTTGTGATTCAAATAAATGAATATATATATATATATATATATACACATACAGTTGTGTTCAAAATAATAGCAGTTAGACATCACTAACCTGATCAATCACTGTTTTTGGTAGAAAGTATATTTCTACCTGGCAAATAATTTACTAGCAGGTGTAGTAGAGTAATAGAAATCCAACAGACCCAACAGTCATAACATGCATTCTGCTGATTCTGTGTAATTGAATCACTAATTGAAAGGGGCATGTTCAAAATAATAGCAGTGTGGAGTTCTATTAGTGAGGTCATTCATTCTTTGAAAAACAGGTGGCAATTATTGCCCTTATTTAAGGAAGGAAGGCAGCAAATGTTGTACATTCTGGTTACAGTGCATTTCTCTCTGAAATTCTGAGGAAAATGGGTCATTCCAGACATTGTTCAGAAGAACAGCGCACCTTGATTAAAAAGTTGATTGGAGAGGGGAAAACATATAAAGAAGTGCAGAAAATGATAGGCTGCTCAAGCTAAAATGATCGCAAATGCTTTAAAATGGCAACCAAAACCTGAAAGACGTGGAAGAAAGCGAAAAACTACCATTCGAATGGAGGATAGAAGAATAGCCAAAATGGCAAGGACTCAGCCAACAATCAGCTCCAGGAACATCAAAGAAGGTCTAAAGTTACCTGTGAGTACTGTTACAATTAGAAGACGCCTATGTGAAGCCAAGCTATCTGCAAGAAGCCCCCGCAAAGTCCCACTGTTGAAAAAAAGACATGTGCTGAAGAGGTTACAATTTGCCAAAGAGCACATTGACTGGCCTAAAGAGAAATGGCGCAACATTTTGTGAACTGATGAAAGTAAGATTGTTCTTTTTGGGTCTAGTGGCCGGAACCAGTTTGTCAGACGACCCCCAAACACTGGATTCAAGCCACAGTACACTGTGAAGACAGTGAAGCATGGTTGCGCAAGATTCATGATATGGGGATGTTTCTCATACTACGGTGTTGGGCCTATTTATCGCATACCAGGGATCATGGATCAGTTTGAATACATCAGAATACATGAAGAGGTCATGCTGCCTTATGCTGAAGAGGAAATGCCCTTGAAATGGGTGTTCCAACAAGACAACGACCCCAAACACACCAGTAAACGTGCAACATCTTGGTTCCAGACCAACAAGATTAACGTTATGGAGTGGCCAGCCCAATCCCCGGATCTTAATCCAATAGAAAACTTGTGGGGTGACATCAAAAATGCAGTTTCTGAGGCAAAACCAAGAAATAGAGAAGAACTGTGGAATGTAGTCCAATCATCCTGGGCTGGAATACCTGTTCACAGGTGCCAGAAGTTGGTTGACTCCATGCAACACAGATGTACAGCAGTTCTCAGAAACAGTGCTTATACAACTAAATATTCATTAAGTGATTCAAAGGAAAGCAAAATCTTCAAACATTTTTCAGTTTATATAGTGAATGTTTGAGTTTGTAAAGAAGAATACAAACACTGCTATTTTTTTGAACAGTCTAATATTCACTTTTCTTCAATTTTTTTAGAGGAACAACACAAATTTGATATATTTTTCTTCAAGTTTCAATTTGGAATAGAATGTGTAGTGTTCCCAATGCATTTGTGTGTATGGAAATAAAAGCTATTAGAAGGATTTTGAGCTTTATTCACTTTTTTCAACACACTGCTATTATTTTGAACACAACTGTATATATATTTATTTATTTATTTGTTTTTTTTATTTTATTTTTTTTAATTTTGTGTGTTTGGGGGGAGGGGGTCTGTTAATTTTATACTGAGCGTAACAGAAAGTATAGAAGCACCCCTCTTGATAATATATAATAAACTGGTGCTTTAGGTGTACCAGAATATAAAGTCAAGTGCGCTGCTAGAAGTGATAAATCTTTCTTTTTCTGCAGCAAATAGATAATTGTGATAAACCATCTGAAAAGTAGGATAATTCTTTGTTTTCCATGAAAAGAAAAGTATATGCCTACACTGACTTACTTTACTTTTTATTCTAGAAAGAGTTACTTTTATAAAAGAGACCAGAAAGTTAGATTCAAGCAAGTAGTTGAGATTTTAGGCTTTCTGATTTTTGATTGTTACTTGAAGGACCATGCTGCCACCTTCTGACACTGTTTGTTATCAACAAAGGATCAGTTAAAGCTAACCACAAGAAAATATATACAGTGGATATAAAAGGTATATACATCCCTGTTAAAATGTCAGGTTTCTGTAATGTAAAAAAAAATAGATGAAGATAAATAATTTCAGAACTCTTTCCACCTTTAATGTAACCTATAAACTGTACAACTCAGTTGAACAACAAACTGAAATCTTTTAGGTGGAGGGAAGTAAAAATAAAAAATAAAATCATATGGTTCCATAAGTGTGCACACCCTTAAACGATTACTTTGTTGAAGCACCTTTTGATTTGATTACAGAACTGTCTTTTTGCCCACTCTTCCTTGCAAAAACAGTCCAAATCTGTCAGATTGCGAGGGCATCTCCTGTGCACAGGCTTCTTCAGATCACCCCACAGATTTTCAATCAGATTCAGGTCTGGGCTCTGGCTGGGCCATTTCAAAACTTTAATCTTCTTCTGGTGAAGCCATTACTTTGTTGATTTGGATGTATGCTTTGGGTTGTTATCATGCTGAAAGATGTTTAAGCTGAGAAAATGTACCATTTTAAGAAAAAAATAAGATAATTTTGAAATTGATAGCAGTATCACGTCTCAAAAAAGTTGGGACAGGGCAACAAAAAGCTGGCAAAGTAAGTGGTACAAGGCAGAGCTGGAAGAACATTTTGCAACTAATTAGGTTGCAGGTCAGTAACATGATTGGGTATAAAAATGGCATCTTAGAGAGTTAGAGTGTCTCAGAAGTAAAGATGGGCTAAGGTTTACCAATCTGGGAAAAACTGTCCCCAATAAATTGTCAAACAACTTCAGAATAATTTCTCAGCATAAAATTGCAAAGACTTTAAATATATCATCCTCTAAAAGCAGAAACACAATATTAGATGCTCGTGATCTTTGGGCTCATGATGGCACTGCATTAACCCGTTCGTGCCGGCTGCACGCAAATGTGGCCTAGACGCCGAGTGGCAGTACATTTGCGTTCAATATACAAAATACATATGTGCTGAGAGCGTGCGCCCTACTTGCTCCCAGCACACATGTACGGTACTCACCTAAAGGTCCCGGTCTCCTCTTGCGATCGGGACCTTTCCCGATCATGTGACCGCCGTGACATCGTGTCACAGCGGTCACATGACACTAAGCCCTGCCCCATCCCGCCCACCTCCCATTGCAGAAACTCCTCTTCATGCCGGGACGATCCGGCGTGAAGGGGTTAAAAACAGGCATGATTCTGTGATGGGCATCACTGCATGGGCCCAAGAATACTTCCAAAAATCATGCCACTGTCTTCTCTGGGCGGACACTCATTTAAAATGGTCTGTTGCAAAGTGTAAAACTGTTCTGTGGTCAGATGAATCAAAATTTTAAACTCTTCCTAAACTAAAGAGGAAAGGGACTTTCTGGCTTGCTATTAGTTCTCAGGTCAAAAGCCCGCATCTCAGATGGCATTTTGGTGCACCAGTGCATATGGAATGGGCAGCTTGCACATCTGGAGAGGCACCATCAATGCTGAAAGATATATCCAGGTTTTAAAGCAACATATGCTCAGACAAGAAAGGCATGACATTCCTCCCCCAACACTCCAGCAACTGGTCTCCTCAATTCCCAGATGTACAGAGTACTGTTAAAAGAAGAGGGGATGCTACACTGTGGTAAATATGGCCCTTTCTCAATCTGTCTGGAATTGTGAATGTTCTTTTTGTTGCCCTATGCCAACTTTTTTGAGATATGTTGCTGCCATCAATTTCAAAATTATCTTATTTTTTTTCCTAAAATGATACTTTTTCTCAGTTTAAACTTTTGATATGTTTTCTCTTTTCTGTTGTGAATAAAATATGGGTTATGAAATTTTCAAATCCTTGCATTCTGATTTTACGTCGATTTTACATAGCATCCCAGCTTCTTTGGAATTGGGGTTGTATATTCTTGGTTAAAATGCTAAACATAGGCCTTTAAAATGTTTGAAAAATATTTTAAGAAATATGCTGTGACATAAAAGTACTACTCAAAATTTGCCAATATTGTGAACCTGTATAATTGTACTGAGATTTTAATATCTTTAAGAGACAGTACATTTAAATGAGCTGTGAGTGTTCCCCATGAAGATTTCTGAGTCTAATTACTTAAATTTCTGACAGGATTGGATAGACAACGGTCCACCTAAAGTGTTCTGGATATCAGGATTTTATTTCACCCAATCATTTCTGACGGGCGTTTCCCAGAATTATGCTAGAAAATATACAATTCCTATTGACCATATTGGATTTCAGTATGAGGTAAGAAGATGTATTTTGCATTTTGAGCATGTGCTGTTTATTTGTACACTGATTCTGGTTTCAGTGATTTATTTAATGTGGTGGAGATGATCTACGCAAACAAAAACAGGCAATTTTTTAACATCTGGAGATTTCAAAAGCTATAAATTGTATACAGTATGGGTACACGGCATTATTTATTTAAAGATGTCAAAGACTCCCTGAGTAAATCAAAGGCTTCCATTATATACTGTATAACATAATACTAGAGGCAATGTTGTGTTTTTTTAAATGCAATTAAATAGTTTCATTATTTATTACTTTCTTTAGGTCTCATACATTTGGGATGGCCCTGTTGTAACCTTAGAAGCATTATTTAATACTGCTATAGGGCGGCACGGTTCCGCAAAATCACATTTACAGTTAGGTCCATATATATTTGGACACAGGCACAATTTTAGTTTTTTTCAGGTATTTACCAAAACATATTCAAGCTAATGTTATATAATGGATATAAGCTGAAAGTGCACACTCTCACATTTGAGGGTATGTACATCCAAATAGGAGGAAGGGTTTAGGAAGTAACCATCCCCCCTTTTTCAAGGGACCAAAAGTGATTGGACAATTGAGTCAAAAGCTGTTTCATGGCCAGGTGTGGGTATACTCCTTTATTATTTCTTCATCAATTAAGCAGGTAAAAGGTCTGGAGCTGATTCTAAGTGTGGTATTTGCATTTGGAATCTATTGCTGTGAACCTACATCATGCGTTCAAAGGATCTGTCCATGCAAGTGAAAAAGGCCATTGTAAGGCTTCAAAAATGAAACAAATCCATCAGAGAGATAGCAGCAACATTAGAAGTGGCCAAATCAACAGTTTGGTACATTCTGAGGAAAGAAGAACGCACATGTGAGCTCAGCAACATAAAAAGGCATGGACGTCTACAGAAGACAACAGTGGTGGATGATTGCAGGACCTCTCTATGGTAAAGAAAAAACCCATTCACAACATCCAGACAAGTGAAGGACACTCTCCGGGAGGTGGGCGTACCATTGTCAAAGTCTACAATCAAGAGAAGACTTCACAAGAGCAAAAACAGAGGGTTCACCACAAGGTGCAAACCATTCATAAGCCTGAAGAATAGAAAAGCCAGATTAGACTTTGCCAAACAGCAAAACATCTAAAATAGCCAGACCAGTTCTGGAAACACATTCTTTGGACGGATGAAATTAAGACTAATCTGTACCAGAATGACGGGAAGAAAAAGTGTGGACAAGGCTTGGAACAACTCATGGTCCAAAGCACACAACGTCATCTGTAAAACATGGTGGAGGTTGTGTGATGGCATTGCATGCATGGCTTCCAGTGGCACTGGGTCATTGGTGTTGATAAAGTGATAGAAGACAGAAGCAGCCGGATTAATTCTGCAGTGTTTAGAGATATATTGTCAGCCCAGAATCAGCCAAATGCAGCAAAGTTGATTGGATGGCGCTTCACAGTACAGATGGACAATGATCCAAAACACACTGCAAAAGCAACCCAGGAGCTTTTGAAGGAAAAGAAGTGGAATATTCTGCAATGGCGGAGTCAATCACCTGATCTCAACCCAATTGAGCATGCATTTCACTTGCTGAAGGCAAAACTAAAGGCAGAAAGGCCCACAAACAAAGAACAACTGAAGACAGCTGCAGTTAGAGCCTGGCAAAGCATCAGAAAGGAGGAAACCCAGTCTTTGGTAAGGTCCATGGGTTCCAGACTTCAGGCAGTCATTGCCAGTAAAGGATTCTCAACAAAAGGTTAAAAATGAACATTTTATTTATGATTATATTCAATTGTCCAATTACTTTTGGTTCATTGAAAAAGGAGGGATGGCTACTCTTAAGAGCTGTAATTCCTAAACCCTTCCTCCAATTCAGATGTACATACCCTCAAATTAACCTGAGAGTGTGCACTTTCAGCCCATATCCATTATATAACTAAAGCTTGAATATGTTTTGGTAAATGCCTGAAAATAATATTGTGCCTGTGTCCAAATATATTTGGACCTAACTGTGATTTTGCAGCTCTGGGTAGGGGGCACGCCGCCATTCGCAGCCTTGGCTGGAAATCACCGGGTCATGGCCAGTGATTCCCCGCTGGCACCTGCCGATCGCTTAGTATCACTGACAGGTGAGAGACCTGTGTATAAATAACACAGATCTCTCCCCTGTCAGCTCCTGCACACCACTTTGTATGGATCTGCAGTGCCATACAAAGCAGTGTGCTTACAGTGTAAGCACACACACACAGCACACAGTTAACCCTTTGATCACCCAACATGTTAACCCCTTCCTGCCCAGTGCCATTAGTACAGTGTCAGTGCTTTTTAGTAGCACTGATCACTGTATTGGTGTCACTGGGGATGTCAGTGACACTAAGTCAGTTCCCCCCAGTGTCCAGATGCCTGCTGCAGTCCCACTATAAGTCGCTGATCACCACCATTACTAGTAAAAATACATAAATAAATAAAATTCCAGTATCTATACCACCATTTTTTAAATGCTAGAACGTTCACGTAAACCAATTAATTTACACATATTGATATTTTTTTTAGTAATATGTAGCAGAATACATTTTGGCCTAAATTTATGATGAAATTTGCTTTTTTTAAAAAAATTTTACTGCATATGTTTTATAGCAAAAAGTCAAAAATATAGTTTTTTTTTTCAAAATTGTCAGTTTTTGCTTATAGCACAAAAAAAAAAATAAAAAATGCACAGATGATCATATACCACCGAAAGAAAGCTCTATTTGTGGGAAAAAAGGACATACGGTGGCAAGAAAAAGTATGTGAACCCCTTGGGATTACGTGGAGTTTTGCATGAATTGGGCATAAAATGTGCTCTGAACGTCATCTAAGTCACAACAATAGAAGAACACAGTCTGCTGAACATAATACTACACAAACATTAGATGTTGCCATGGTTTAATTGCACATAACATGTAAACATTCACAGTGCAGGGAGGAAAAAGTGAACCTTTGGACTTAATAACTGGTTGACCCTCCTTTGGCAGCAATAACCTCAACCAAACATTTCCTGTAGTTGCAGATCAGACCTGCACAACGATCTGGAGTAATTTTGGACAACTCCTCTTCACAAAACTGTTTCAGTGTAGCAATATTCTTGGGATGTCTGGTGTGAATCGCTCTCTTAAGGTCATGCCACAGCATTTCAATCAGGTTGAGGTCAGGACTCTGACTGGGCCACTCCAGAAGGCGTATTCTGTGCTGTTGCAGCCATTGTTTTGTTGAATTACTTGTATGCTTTGGGTCATTGTCCTGTTGCATCACCCATGCTCTGCAGAACTTCAGTTGGCGGACAGATGGTCGTATGTTTTCCTGCAAAATGTCTTGATAAACTCTGGAATTCATTTTCCCATCAATGACAACAATCCGTCCAGGCCCTGAGGCAGCAAAGCAGCCCCAAACCATGATGCTCCCTCTGCCATGTTTTACAGTGGGGGTGAGGGTGCCTTTTTTTCTCCACACATAGTGTTGTGTGTTCTTCCCAAACAACTCAATCTTGGTTTCATCTGTCCACAGTATATTTTGCCAGTAGTGCTGTGGAACATCCAGGTGCTCTTTTGCAAACTTCAAACGTGCTGCAATATTCTTTTTGGACAGCAATGGCTTCCTCCGTGGTGTCCTCCCATGTACTCCATTCTTGTTTAATGTTTTCCTTATTGTAGATGTGTCAACAAAAATGTTAGCATGTGCCAGAGATTTCTGTAGGTCTTTAGCTGACATTCTGGGATTCTTCTTTACCTCATGCAGCATTCTGCGCTGTGCACTTGCAGTCTCCCACGCCTAGGGAGAGTAGCAACAGTGCTAAACTTTCTCCATTTGTAGACAATCTGTCTTACCGTGGACACATGAACATCAAGGCTTTTGGAGATACTTTTGTAACCCTTTCCAGCTTCATGCAAGTCAACAATTCTTGATCGTAGGTCTTCTGAGAGCTCTTTTCTGCGAGGCATGGTTCACATCAGACAGTGCTTCTTGAAACCAGTAAACCCAAAACAGGTGTGTGTTTTTTTTAAGAGCAGGACAGCTGTCAGCAACACATCCAATATCATCACACTGATTGGAGTCAAGGTTGGCTCACTCCTGGCTCCAATTAGCTCTGGGAGAAGTCATTAAGCTAGAGCCTCACATACTTTTTCCTCCCTGCACTGTGAATGTTTACATGTTATGTGCAATTAAACCATGGCAACATCTAATGTTTGTGTAGTATTATGTTCAGCAGACTGTGTTTCTTCTATTGTTGTGACTTAGATGACGTTCAGAGCACATTTTATGCCCAATTCATGCAAAACTCCACGTAATCCCAAGGGGTTCACATACTTTTTCTTGCAACTGTAAATTTAATTTGGGTGCAGGGTTGCATGAGCACGTAATTGTCAGTTAAAGTAACACAGTGCCATATCGCAAAAATGTCCAAGTGGTTAATCAAAGATTGCCACAAAATGTTGTCTGCATTCTTAAATGATGAAAGGATGGCTCCCTCAAAGGCCAATAGCACATTGATTGATTTGCCTTTGTACTATACAATATATGGGAACTGCCTGTATAATCATTGAAGATCCCCCACTGTATCCTCACAGCACACTTTCCCACATGGGTGCCTTTACTTTTGCTAGAGCAAGATTCTTTTTCATATGTTGATTTCAGCTTCTTTTATAGCCCTAGTAACATATGCATAAACACACAACTGGGCTGATTACCCATGGCTAGTGAAAAGGAAAGTGTCAGCTTTTTTCAGATTTAGGTCAGAAAATGGAAGACGTGATTAGTTTATGGGAGACATAAACCACTTCCTTCTGTTTTTATAAGCTGGTTCCACTGTCACAAGTTAAAGAAAAGGTGGCTGATTTTTTTTATATCTCTAGAACAAATATGACTAGGACAGTAGAAAAAAATGTAAAGAAAATCTGATTGGATGATATAATCTGGCAATTATTAAAATGTTCAGATTCACCATTT